TGAAGTTTGTACGTGTGTAACAATTCGATTACTGCCGTCAATGTATGATAGTATATCTATTAATAAATTATACTTAGACCCCCTAAAGTTTGTAAGCGTATANTGTTTTTGAGAGAATTATACCAGATCTTGTGAAATTTGTCACTTAATTATTGAAATATCCTGAAATTTAAAATATTATACATAAATTCATTGAAGTTTGTACGTGTGTAACAATTCGACTACCGCCGTCAATGTCTGATAGTATATCTATTAATAAATTATACTTAGACCCCCTAAAGTTTGTAAGCGTATAANGCCGTTTAAATTATCTTTTGTTGTTTCAGTCAATTTCTTTTTCTTATATTCTTCAAATTATGAAATAAAATTTTACAAAGTTATCTTTTTCAAAAAACTATCTCTCANTAATATTTAGTCCCCTTAAGTTTAAAATATTATACTTAATAGAATGTCAAATATTTTAAATTTTCAACAAAAATTCATGTTCTATTCTATGATTTATATAAATAAAATCCAAATTATTCTTAAAAATTATAATTAGTATATATTTATACTATTTATTAAAATAAAACTAAAAAAAAAANTCTCTCTCCCTCACCTACGACTTCATCAATAAAGACCATTGACCATCGTTGTTGTCTTTAAAGTGGAGTAGGTTACCCTAACCAAACCATTATACATATGTGTGTTGCTTGTGTTGATCCAATATTTGTCTCCTTCATTAATTATCCTAAATCATACCCTCGATTGTTAATTGTGCATAAGCCTATTTTGTGCGTNCTGAGGCTTTCCCCCTAAGCTCTCCATGACCATCGATAAACGCACCTGCAGCAGCCCTCTCAGTAGCCTCACTGCTCATCTTCATCACTTTCTCAATGGAATGAGCATTTACCTTGGTGGCTCTCTCACAAGCTACTTGTAGGTTAGCCTATATCACAGTAGCCNAAAATTTAAAATATTTGATATTCTATCTTTGATTAAAGTATTTTTTATCTAAGTATAACATTTTAAACTTGAGGAGTCTAAGTATTACACGTATACAAAATTTACGGGGTTTGAGTGTAATTTACTAACGGANGAAATTTAAAATATTTGATATTCTATTTTTGATTGAAGTATTTTTTATCTAAGTATAACATTTTAAACTTGAAGGGTCTAAGTATTACACGTATACAAAATTTACGGGGTTTGAGTGTAATTTACTAACGGATATACTAACAAACATCGACGGTAGTTGTCTAAGTATCACGCGTATACCAAATTCAAGGGGTTTGTGTGTAATATTTCAAATGTCAGGGGTTTGAATGATTAAATGATACATCTCAGAGAGTCTACGTGTAAATCTTGATGAGCCCAAATCTAGTTGGGTTAAGCCCAATTCATGAAGTAAGCTCAAATTAGCTATAAAACAGGTCAAGTCCAGCTCATAGATTTAGTCCGATCTAAGATTCAGGAAGTTTGAGAAGATTAGCGCATGTGAGAAGTAATTATTGGGATAGCCATTGTTAGAGATCAAGACTATCTATAGTTGTACCTATCCTTAGTTGTAACTATTCTCTCTGAATTATTAGTCATTTATCACATCACGTCATCGCCTCAATCAAGGCTCTATGCCTATAAATTGTAAGTCTTTTCAGATGAAAGACATCTCCCTACACACCCCTACACAAGTTTTCTCTCTCATAGCTACCAAGAGCATACCCTTGCTCTCTCTCTCTCTCCCTCACCTACGACTTCATCAATAAAGACCATTGACCATCGTTGTTGTCTTTAAAGTGGAGTAGGTTACCCTAACCAAACCATTATACATATGTGTGTTGCTTGTGTTGATCCAATATTTGTCTCCTTCATTAATTATCCTAAATCATACCCTCGATTGTTAATTGTGCATAAGCCTATTTTGTGCGTCATCAGTTTGACGTCATTTGTGGGAACCAAGATGAGAAAGAGTGCCAACAGCCCCTCGAAGAAATTCAGATGATCTCTGGAGGGTTTGGAGGAGGAGATAGGTGACTCTAACTCTGCCAAGAAAGTCCACGCCAGGAAAGCTAAACAGGCAGACTCGAATGACTTTCGCCCCACAAAGATGCCCTGGCACAAGGAAGAAGAGGTCATCACCTTCTCAGACAGGGATCTCGAGGGAATCCAAGTCCCCTATGATGACTCACTAGTTTTAACCATGATGGTAGCCAACTACTAGGTTAAGATAATTTTGGACGACAGCGGAAGTTCAGCCGATATCCTATTCGCACTAGCCTGCAATCAGGACACCCCTTGTTGGATTCTTGGGGGAGAGGGTTTATCCCTTGGGTTTCATCACCTTGCCAGTCACCATAAGGACAACACCAAGAAGCTTTACCATCATAGTGAACTTCATTATACTTAACTGTCTCTCTACCTACAACAACATACTTGGACGCCCTGCACTCAACACCCTAAGGGAAGTTTCGTCCACCTATCACCTTGTTCTTCGTTTCCCTACCCTATATGGGATTGGAGAAGTTAAAGGAAACCAATTCTTTACCAGAGAACACTACGTGGCCTCTATGAGGATCAAGAAACCCTAAGAGGCCCTCTAGGTGGAAGCAGTTGGTATGAAAGCACACTGAAAATGGGAAAGCCTTGGTCCACCTATGGGATGCCAAACACTTGAAGAGGTATTATCAATACTAGGGTTCAAGTTGGTAAGTGTACAAGTCTGTGACTACCGTTTAAATTATCTTTTGTTGTTTCAGTCAATTTCTTTTTCTTATATACTTCAAATTATGAAATAAAATTTTACAAAGTTATCTTTTTCAAAAAACTATCTCTCATTCCATGGAAGTTTATAAACAATTTACAAAAGATAAAACATGACCTAGCAACAAAAAGATAAAAGTGTCATACTCCTGACATCACTCACTGCTCCTTGATCCACTCTCATCAAGGCTCTCCCCGTCACCATCTTTCCCTGGGGCCTCATATTGGACAAAGCCAGAGAAATCAAAATTAGGGAAAGCTGCTGAGGCTTTCCCCCTAAGCTCTCCATGACCATCTATAAAGGCACCTGCAGCAGCCCTCTCAGTAGCCTCACTGCTCATCTTCATCACTTTCTCAATGGAATGAGCCTTTACCTTGGTGGCTCTCTCACAAGCTACTTGTAGGTTAGCCTATATCACAGTAGCCCTCTTCCAAGTTATACGTAGCTCGGCCTCAGCTCTTGCGACCTTCTCACGGGATTCTTACAGCTCTGACTCTACTCTTGCGCAGACAGTCTCCTTTATTAGTCTCCAGCTTAGCGCCTCTCTCGTGAGTCACCAAAAAGCTCAACCTAATCCAACCTTTGCTCTCAAACAACCTCAATCTCTAGCTTAGCACCTCTCTCATGAAAACAAAGGAGGAGGGTGCAAAATCAAAGTTGAGAAGAAAGGCATACCATGGAAAACTCCTCCATTGTTGTATTGATAATGCCCCTTGAACCTCGAGATCCAACCTCTCTGATATCCCTGGGAGTCACAGACCTCCAAAGTTGCTCCTTAGCCAAATTCACATCGAAGCATGGAAACCGACCCACTACTAGAAGCAAGGTAGCTATGTGGAGATACAGTCCCTATAGAAGACAGCACTAGAGTCTCAACTCCTACAGCAGTACAAGGGCTAGCTCTAGTACACACAAGAGTCATAGTCTGGGAAGGAGTGAGGGCANACTCCTTAGCCAAATTCACATCGAAGCATGGAAACCGAGCCACTACTAGAAGCAAGGTAGCTATATGGAGATACAGTCCCTATATAAGACAGCACTAGAGTCTCAACTCCTACAGCGGTACAAGGGCTAGCTCTAGTACACACAAGAGTCATAGTCTGGGAAGGAGTGAGGGCACCACTGGATCCCCCTAAAAGCATAGAGAAAACATTAACAAAGTGCCTCAAGGTCCCTGTCTAAGAAGACGTCACCCTAAAAGCATAGAGAGCCTCCATCATTACTCTATTAATAGAGCGCCCGTAATTAGAGACAAGGCTAATATAAAGAACCAACATCGAGAAAACATTAAGGAGAAAGAATGATTGGAGAAAACAAGTTTGCCTCCTTCCTAGTTGAAAGCCATCATAGTCTCCTTCTCTGGAAAAACCCAAAACTCCAACCCTCCGCCCATGAATGCTTGATAGCTGCTTGCCAAAGCGCAACTTCCCACCGTTGTCGGTTTCACTAATTTGTNATTCTCGGGAAAAACCCAAAACTCCAACCCTCCGCCCATGAATGCTTGATAGCTGCTTGCCAAAGCGCAACTTCCCACCGTTGTCGGTTTCACTAATTTGTGTTTAAAGCTCAAATTTTGTGAGAAACAAATATTTTGTGAAGAAATTTGGCACCCAAACAACGGTTGTTTGTATGTCGTAGATCTTGAAAAAAATACCGAAATGCAAAACAAAATTTGCCACAAATGGACAACCAAGCGCAAAGTTATAGTTGTTCAAAGTTTTGTTGTCTCATTGTGCTTTTCTAGTACTCCACCCACCCTAGCATCTCAGCACTAGAGCCTGTGCACATACCTGCTCCAAGGTGTCGCCCAGACCACCAATGACGTCGCCCATATCCGTAACTATCAGCACTTACCAATGCCTATTCCCTTCTCCTGGCACTGCCCAAACTAGCACTAGCACCTGTGCCTACAAGGCGTCGTCCCTCCTATTGCAAGGCTCGTGCAGTTGTTTGCATTGCCCAGGTTGGCATCACCCAAGCTGCTAGCACCCAGATGGGTACCTTGTTTGGCGTCACCAACACAGCTGCCTACTCCTACCCTTACACTGGTGCCTTGTGTTCTGCCTCTATCTCCCAAATCCTTCATAGTTGATCTGACGTCACCCTTGGAAGCTAATCTAGNTTCCCTTCTCCTGGCACTGCCCAAACTAGCACTAGCACATGTGCCTACAAGGCGTCATCCCTCCTATTGCAAGGCTCATGCAGTTGTTTGCATTGCCCAAGTTGGCATCACCCAAGCTGCTAGCGCCCAGATGGGTACCTTGTTTGGCGTCACCAACACAGCTGCCTACTCCTACCCTTACACTGGTGCCTTGTGTTCTGCCTCTATCTCCCAAATCCTTCATAGTTGATCTGACGTCACCCTTGGAAGCTAATCTAGCATCGCTCAAGCTCTTGGAGATCGATCTGATGTCGTCTATCACATCCTCAGCTTCATAGCTGGTGCCAACCAAAAACTCACCATAACCTAGCAGCCTACTAGCAATGCATAACTTGCAGGCATCACACAACCTAGTGGAGTCACCCAACCAGCTGTTGCCGCCTTTTGCTCCTCTAGTCGTTGCGGAGTCTGCCCTTTGAGATAGGCACTGCTGATTTCATCATGGGCCGGGCTTTGACAAGCTTCACCAAAGAGCCTCTGACGTCTAATCTACCTGTAACCTCCCTGTGGAGATCCTTGCATTCTAGGAGTGAGAGGATTGTTTATCCTAAGATGAAGGAGGCAATGAAATGGTGAAAAAGTCCCTAGATCTATATATACTTGGCCTCTTGAAAACCCTATGCCTCAAATTGTAGAAGAGAGTTTTTAGTGTGAAATCCACTTTAACGTGGTGGTAGCACTATGAATGGTTAGCAACAGGGGAAATAAAGAAGATATCACTGCACAACCGTGCCGAACAATGAATCTTTGGCTATCCAAATGGAGGAGCTCATTCATACCCTCACTCATACATAGCCACCGTTCCCATCATCGCTCGCACCCTCGTCATTAGTCCCTAGATTCTCATAAGGGACAAAGCCAAAAAATTCATACGCAGGAAAAACTGTTGAGACCTTCCCCCTGAGCTCCTCATAGCCATCAATAAAGGCGCCTGCCATAACCTTCTCAGCAGCATCCCTCTTCTTCTCCATCTCTATGGAGTAAGGCTTTGCCCTAGTAACTCCCTCAAGAGCTACTAGAAAAGGTCAGCCTCTGACACAACAATCCTCTCATGAGACGCTCATAGTTTAATCACTGNTCCAACAAGATAAGGACAAAATTTTTTCAAAGCAAAAACTATCGCATGCAATTCTTTTTCAGTTGTTGAATAATTCATTTGAACACCATTCAAAATTTTTCTTGCATAATAAATGACATGTGGTTTCTTATCTTTTCTTTGTTCTAATATAACACCTACAACATAATCACTTGCATCACACATTAGTTCAAAGGGCAAAGTCCAATCAGGGGACTGCATTTATTGGGGCAGAAATTAACATGTCTTTAAGCTTAACAAAAGCTTGTTGGCNCCTACTTTCCTGAACGGGGATGCAACGTCTTATGATTTGATCCTTACAGTACTAAAATATATACTGGTCTTCCCTAAAAAAGTTACAAACCTCCCTCAGAAATTTCTTTTTGTCCGTGGGGCAGAAGGACAGAGGAAGTGTTCTAGTAGCAAGGAAATTAGCAATATCAGCATGCTATGGGATCTCATCAATTATAAACAGTTGTTCATCGAGGAATTTTTCATTGATTGGCAGTCCATCCTTGTGAAATTCATAAGTTAACCTAGACAGATGGTCTGCCACCATATTCTCAACACCCTTTTTGTCTTTGATGACCAGGTCAAACTTTTGGAGTAAGAGTATCGATCTTAAGAGCCTAGGCTTGACATCCTTCTTTGTGAGCAAAAATTTTAANATTCAATCTTTGCTTCATTTGACCAAAGGGTTTTGAATCCTCTTCCAAGTATATGACATGATTGCAGATCAACGAACTTACACCTTTCAAGTCAGCAATGGTCCACCCACTGGTGCTTTTGTGGCTATTAAGAATTTCAATCAGTTTAGACTCTTGCAAGTCTATGATCTTAGATGAAATTACCACTGGGTATGACTCGTTCTCTCCTAGGAATGCATATTTGAGGCCAGATGGGAGAAGTTTCAATTCAGGCTTTGGTGGCTTGACACTTGATGAGAGTGACTTTGTGCCACTTGGTGAAAGTTCCTCAAATTTGGGGATCCATGTATCAACAACATGATTCAGGCAATTCTTTGGATCATCATCTATTGTCTCAGATGTAATGGATTCTGACAGAGAGGATTCAATGGAATTTTCACATAATGTGTTATTCAAATGGTTCTGAATCAACTACTCAATGAAATTTATTTCTCTCTCTTCTTTATCTTCTCCTCGGTGTTTTGCAACATTGAAAATATCTAGCTCAAGATTCATATTGTCAAAGGTTAATTTCATAACCATATTCCTTCAATTGATTAGTGCATTTGAAGTTGCTAAGAAGGCTCGACCAAGAATTACGGGAATTGAGTTCTCTGAATGCTTTGCTGGCTGAGTATCTAGGACGATGAAGTCAACATGGAATACAAAGTTGTCCACTTTGACAAGTACATCTTCCACAATACCCCTAGGAATTTTGATAGATCTGTCTGCCAACTGAAGTGTGACACTTTTGGGTTTGAGTTCTCCCAGACCCAACTGCTGGTAAATAGAAAAAGGGAGCAAGTTGACACTAGCTCCTAGGTCTAATAGTACTTGTTCGATTTTAAAATTTCCAATGACACACGACATAGTCGGACACCTTGGATCTTTGTATTTTGGAGGGATTTTGTGTTGAAGTAAGGCACTGACATGTGTTGTCAAAAATTCTCTTTTTGAACATTTTGGCTTCTTTTGACTGTGCACAAGTCTTTCAGAAACTTGGCATAAGGTGGAACCTGTTTGATTGCATCCAGAAGTGGGATGTTAATTTTTACTTGCTTAAAAAGCTTATAAATTTTAGGCTGATTATTCAACTTCTGTGCAGTTTTGAGTCTATGAGGAAAAGGAGGAGGAATAGAACACGAGGGTTCTTCTTCCCTTGATGGCTCTAGTTCTTGTTCAATCATGGACTCAAGTTCCTCTTCTTTCACACATTCAGACTCAATTAGTTCAGGCTCGACTGGTGAGTTAACCAGGCTTGACTTAGATTTTGGAATTAGCATGTCCTTGATTGTCTTATCAATCACCTTGCCACTTCTTAGTGTAGTGACAACTTATGCTTGGTCTTGTGGAGTTTCCATGATAGTGGTATTTCCCACCTGAAATTGGCCTTGTAGTAGTTTTGGTTGGGCAAAAAACTTGTCTTTCTCATATGTGGCCATAGATTGGGTCAATTTTTGGATGTGGCTTTTCAGATCCTTGAAAGATTGAGTGGTCAAGGTTTTGAAATCAGTGAAAGCTTGAGTGGAACTATTATTGTAGTTCATTTGTCTTTGCATGAACTGATTTAGTGTGTCCTCAAGACTCCTCTTTTGTGGTAGTTGGTATGGTTGATATGTGGGAGGTCCTTGAGGTAGTGGGTATGAACCTTGTTGTTGATTCATGAGAGTTGGTTTTGTGTTTGTCCAACTGAAGTTCGGGTGGTTGCGCCACCCTGGATTGTATGTTTCAGAGTGTGGGTTGGAGTAAGACTTGTTGAAGTTAGAAATGACATTTGTTTGTTCCAATAAGACTTCCTTGAATACCAGAATGGTTGGACACTCCCCAATGGGGTGTCCTATCAGTACACCTGTTCTGTGGGAGGGCCAACATCAATTTGATGAACCTTTTTCATCTCTAATGCTTCAAGCTTTCGAGATAGGGTGGACATTTTTGCTCTTAGGTCATCCTCATCTTTCAAGACATACTTACCCCCTTGGGAAGTGGATGGTTTGGCTTCAACAATAGTAAGGGAGGCTGAGTCCCACATATGAGAACTGTCAGATATGGTGTTAAAAAAATTGAATGTGTCCTCCGAACTCTTACTCATAAACTCTCCTTAAGCCATCATTACGACAAACTGACGTAGTCCAGTGGGCAAGGAGTCATAGAAAAATCCTACCAAAGTCCAATTCTCAAAAGCATGGTGTGGGAAGGACTGGAGTAGATCCTTGAATCTCTCCCAACTTTGGAATAAGGTTTCTCCTTCTTTGACCAAAAAATTCATGATTTGCGTGCATTAGTGCGGTGTAGAGGAAAAAAATTTCTAAAAAATTTATTTTCTAGTGCCCGCCAATTAGGTATTGAAAGAGCTTTTAAAGAATTGAGCCATTGTTTAGCTTTATCCTTTAGAGAGAATGAAAAAAGTTTCATATTAGCTAGTTCAGAATTGTCTTGAAAGGTTCCACATACTTCCTCAAATTCTTTTATGTGCAGATATGCGTTTTATGTTTCGTCCATGGAATTGAGGAAGTAGTTGAACTGTCCCCGTCTTTATAGTAAAGAGGGGTGCATCTTCAAGAAAGATAAAACAAGAGGGAGCCCTATTTCTTGTGGGATTTAAGTAATCCTACAGAGTTCGAATGTTAGGCATTTCCCCCTCTCTCACAGGAATTTCTCCTCGTCTCTCATTATTTGTCATTCTACTTTCACAAGAGTCTGTTACTGATCTAGGTGAAGGTGGTTCCAATTGATTCATAAATCCAAAAGATTCTGTAGGTAAATTTTGATAGTGAGGAGCGTCCTCAGAAATAAAATTAAAATAAATTTATACACAATAAAACAAGTATCTATACAAAAAGAAGAGGTCTTTTTACCTTTTACCTTAAAACACTTTTTATGGTTACCCGACAACGGTGCCAAAAACTTGACTTGATCCGAAATGTGTACACCCAAGTGTAGGCGGTCAAGCTGTAGTAATAATCCAGTTAAGTTCGGAGTCGAATCCACAGAGAACTATGATTAGTGTTTTTGAAGTAAGCAGTGACAGAGATCAAGTAACTAGAAACCTTGAGAATTTGAAGTTATGGGATTTCCTGAATAGAATATAATATTCTTTCCAAGAGTTTTCTAGACAAAATATAAGATAAATTCAAATGTGAAACAATCACTCTTTAGCTTGAGGATCAAAAAATGCAGTTAATCATCCGGTTTCTTATACTTGTGTTTTTAACTCAATTAATTTTCGTGTCAATAGCAAGTTAATCGGAAGATAAAGATAGACTGTGACAATTAAGCACATGATTCCGATACCTTTCTAGAAATTAACAAGAATTGTCTGTGCCGAGACTCAAACCCGTCTACAAACAAGCAAGTGTTTCTACAAGGCATCCAACCATGACATTAATGTTCCATTCTTTAGATAATGCACAATAATGGTGACGATTGAAATGTTGTCATGAAGATCTAACCGGGGTACTTGCCTTGAACCAACAAGTCTTTCTATGCAAGAGTCATCCGTGACATAGAAAGATCTCACGGTTATACAAAGTACCTTACCTTTGCTATATACATTTAATCATTCAATGAGCAAGTGAAATATAAAGCATTAAAGCATAAAAGAAATCCACAAATACAAATTTTGGATAATTTATACATATACATCACCTCTCACTAAAGAGTGAATGAGGAATTAATCATTCTTCATTGCTTGGGTAAAGCTAGAAAAGTGAGTGATATTCATCCCTCCAAGTAGAGAACTTACAAAGTAAAGTACAATAAAC